AGGGCTGGGAAGCTCTCCTGCCTAGGGCAGAATGCTCCCGAGCTGCTGGAGGATGAGGTCACCGGGGGGTAGGCACAGCTCCTGCACTCAGCTCAGAAGACAAGCAAGGGCAAACACAACACCATGACCAGCTCCAAGGAAAGGGAAAATGAAACTGCTTCTTGAAAGAAACTGCTATTCAGAGAGTGAAGGAGAAGCGAGTACCTGGCGTGGAAGCAAGGTCAGGCTAATAAAAGCAGTAAATAGAAATTGTCACTCTGCCTAACACACAGCACCTAGATTTCAAGCCAAATTAAGGGGGAATTCTAATGCTGCCTTGCAAAGCCTGCACAATAAAGGAAGAAAGTAATCACATTCCCCACGGCCCTTCTCTGGCTGGCTTCAGTTCTCTTCCATAGTTCCAGCATAATATGGTCTTAAGAACTAAGGACATTCAAAGCACTATTTGCATAAGGATGTATGCTTTCCCTATGATAATCCTGGCAGGGTATTTTGATTCTAGATATTCCAAAAGAGAAAGCGAAACTCGGTGAAATTATATGCTCGTGGTCACTGAGCTGAGAAGCAGAAAAAAATCAAGATTAAAACTCAGTAGACCTTCAGTTCCTCGGCGCAGAGGCACCGGAAGAGCACACTGTGAGCTGCGTGCGTACGCAGCCTCCCAGTGTTCTCACAACGTTACGTTCTTCGTCTTGGTCAGCATCAGCTTTTTCTGCCCTTGCTGTCCTTGGGTGATTTCCGCTCCAGAGTCTAAGGCAACTAAGACAGCCTCACTCCCTGACCCAGTGATTGTAAGGTGAGATTACAGTGAACTGTTAAAAGAGTTGCTGTCGTGCTCACCAAAAGTACAGGGCAGAAATAAAAAACAGAAACCACCCCACAGAGTGGGGAAGATAAAATAGAGATAGTGCCACAGCCACAGGACCAGAGACGAGAGCTCTGAGCCAGGGCGTTCAAATTGGAAAGAAGCCGGCGAGCTTCCACAGAAGAGGAGAAAGACATGCCTATGATGGAAATTAATTTCTATTTACTATCCCATATGTCCCCAAAGGAGCACCAGGGAGAAGAAGTAATTTGGCAAATGCATCTTTTGTGTTTAAACATCAATTTTGATTTGTGAGAGATACTTGCCTTTCAAATATTACACTTTCCATAAGTAGAAAAGATTCAGAAAGCAAACTTTCTAATGTGTTTATGCATTAAATCCTATCTTGACTTTTAAAATGGAGAAGAAGGCCAGGGATGTAGCTTAGCAGCATAAGCACTTGCCTGGCAAGCCTGAGGTCATGAGTTCGATTCCCAGTGCCAAAAAATAACTTAATTAATTAATTAAATAAAATAAAATAGAGAAGAATTTCAGCAAGAGTAAGGATCTGTGATAAAATAAAAAACAAACAAACAAAAAAAAAAAAAACAGGCACTTGCCTTCACGCATATTCTTTAAGGACCAGGGTCTTTCAGAAACATGACCATGTATAATATGGCATATCATACACTTAAACTTAAAGTATATTTAATAAGAGGAACAAGTTCAGGTGAGAAATGTGGCCCAGGACACACACACACACACACACACACACACACCAGTGTGGCAGGATGAAGACTGGAGAAGACACTTGCTTTCCTGAAGCTTGTGAAGTGAGAAGGGCCTCTGACCCTTTACCTGCAGCCTCATCTCCCAGATGACAGAGCTACTATTGATCACGAGCCACTGTCTAGTGCCTGAAAGGTAAAATCCACATAATTACTGCTGCTGGTTGAAGAGTTATGTTTGGGCAAAGGGAAGGGGTTGGATTAAGATCATTATCTAACAACTGACAACTCCATAAACTCTATACTGGTAAACCTGTATGTTTTTCAGTCTAAACTTCTAAAGCATTTTAATTATAGACAAACTTGTGGTAGAAAAATCAGCTCTCAGGATACAGGCAAATTAGCTTACTTTTTATATACATCACACCCTTCTCTTCCCCCTCCCCTGTGATCCTCCTCCAGCTGTGACTATAAAACATTAAGGAACATTCCATTTCCCTTTGTGATTTTCTCTTAGTCTTTATATAAACCAAGATCAGACTGTTCCTGCCTTTGATAGGAAAATCAAAAGACCTACCAGTTTACCTTTTTTTGTGGTACTTATAAAACACCTGTCACTTGGGAAAGTGGACTCATTCACAAAGTTTAACATCATAAAATCAAACCATTTGCTGAATCCCATAACATAAGATACATCTTTATATTTAATAGTAAACTCCCTAGGCTTGTGGACTGATGCCTGGGAAACTGATTTTCTAGAATTTTTACTCTCAGAAAATTGAATTCTTCTTCAAAGTCACTAATTTTACTGCTGACACATATTTATGTTCCTGCATATTATTCGTGAAATGTACCAAATTGCTCATGACTTTAAAAGATTAGAAATAATATTGCTTCTTTCTCTGGCTATTTTTCCATTTTTTTCTTTTTCTCCAACCTCAGACCTCAATCTCTATATTTATTTGATCTCTCTATGTCTCCTGAAAACTCTTCAAATTCAGATAGCTGATAGCTGCTTCCACAATTTCCTGAAAAATACATTTTAAAGTTACCAAGAGTCTCCTCACTGTGAGCCCAGTGGCCTTTTCTCCACTTCAATTTGCCTTCAGCCATGCCAGGTAGAAAGAAAGTTCCTGAATTGAGGCCAGGTTCTCCACATGATCCACACACTGCTCTTCGTCACCATCGTTTCAGTCTATCGTGCCTATTTTATTCTTGGTTCTCAGACTAATCACCCTTACAAGGCGTGTGCATCTTATTGCTTTCCGCTTTGACGTTATCAATAGCTCTCTCTCTCTATTGTATGAAATGGAAACTTCTTTGCCTGCCTTGCCTGGCCCTTCACCAGTCTGTGTACAGTTAGTTTTTGACAGGCAAATGTAAACAAGACTAACCTAGCAGTTTCTAGGCTGCAGACATTTCCCTAGAAGAATGAGAATGTATAACAGAGAGAGCAAAAATTTTAGAGATGGAGTACCCAAACTGCATCCCCAAACCCACTTATTCTTTGGAAAGTGCCAATACTGCAACTAGACCAGAACACTGAGTTGTAGGTTAGAGAACAAAGCTCCCATGTTTGGCTCCCGTGCCAACAGAGCGTGCTCTACAAGGTCAGCATGCTGCTTGCAACACAGGTGTCGTGGGTTCACTACCACTGGTGCAGGATGTGGAAAAGAGCAGTGAATTTTCTTATTCAACTTCAGGTGCATTCCTTAAACTCAAGTTCAGGCTACACATTAGCATTTCAGTGAAGAGGAAATAAATTACTAAAGGTGGGGAGAAAAGGTCTGTGAGAACTGAAGGGCACATAATCTCACTTCGTGAAGTTATTAATCACAGTTTTTCCCCACTGCCTTAGTTTTTGGAAGGCATTGATGGCATTCCTGAGAGCGATCAGATACAAAGTGCAAAACTACTCACACGTAAATCTATGATTATCACATACAACACAGGGAAATGGTAACTATTATGAACTCAATGTATTTGTTAATAGTTCATTAATTTCATGCTAATATTTCTTCCTTGAAGCCTAACCCATAGAGAATTTCATTACCACTACTATTCAGGTGTCAAATTTCTTTCTAAAACAAAACAAAGAAAATCTTTTATAGAAATGGATCTTTAGTTTTGTAGACAATAGAAACTGTGAAAAAGAAGACCAAATCTTCATCAGTTTAATTCACAAAGCAAATGCACAGGGAAATAGCATTATTCACCATTTAAATTGCCTAATTAGTCTTGGGAATATTTTAACTCTGTCCAAAGTAAAGGAATTTTACACACAGTTATGAGAGTGCTAAATTTCTAAATAGTAGATTTAAGTGAACCCTCCACTGAAAGAAATAAATCACTTCTGTGCTGAGGAAACTCTATTGAGATACCATCTGAAAGATCTATTGAGCCCTGAAGTGAAATATATACATTTTTAAAAGGATAAACACAGCAGGAAATGTCCACTATATTTTATAGTGAATCATCCAAATATTCAAGAGTTCCCTGATTTATTCTCAAGTAACAACCTTGACTCCTTAAAAATTGTTTATGATGGTCAAAGGAAAACATGTACGGTGCTTGGACACAAGCTATCCGCCTAGCAGACTTCTTTGGAGAGTAAACCACTCTTAAGGCATCGTTTACTTTCGCAAACAGCATATGCTCACCATGTGGCACCATTCTTGTTAACACTAAAGTAGCAATTTGAGCTTCACAGCTTGGGAGCTCTGTTTATAATAATAATAGTATGTGATGTCAAGGCCTCAGAGTCCCATATGTCACAGGTGATCATGAACATAAATGCAAATGTCCAAAATCTGCTCTGCTGGGAAAGTGATTCTTGCCAAGGCCGAAGACGCCAGTAGACATACAAATTCTTGGTCTTCAGCCTCTACTAAGCCCAGAAACTGTCTGTCCAATTTCACTGCCCGCCTTCATCTGCTTCTAATACATGTATACGCCTAGTGAATTCATTTCCCTTGGGGGGAAGTTTTGTTTTCTCAAGAACTTGAGATTTTCAATGAAGTGCCTATGATCAGATAGACATTGTTGAAAGTTTTATGTTTTAACTCTTCTCTTCATTTTATATGAGCTGTTTACTTTTTGAGCACCTTCAAACCTCTAGCATTTTAGAATAATGTTTAAAACATGGCACTATTAAGGAACTTTAAGATTACAGCTGTAAAAACAGACCTATGTTATTATAATCAGTGAGAAAGCCCCTTCACTGGGATTTCAGAATATAAAAGGAGCCCATGCAGAGAACTGGCGGAGTAAGAACCAAAAAAGAGAAGAGAGAAATAAAGAGGGGAAGAAAATCTATCATGCAAACAAAAGGGGGTGTTTCTATTCTTGACAGCCCATTTGAAAAAATAAATGTGATTCAGTATTTGAGTAGCAGACCTCTTTCACTGGAAGCGGGGTGTTACGACACAATCACTTCACATACTGCATCTGTTAAGATACTTACTCAATTCTAGCTTAGATGGTTATGGGCCTCTCTGCTTCTCCTGTAGAATATGGGCTCTTCAAGAGCCAGAACTAGGCTGTGTGCCTCTGCCAAAGAAGTCCCCTGCACAAAGCAGATACTCACTATTTGTATTTGGATAAATGTTGCAGACTAGAAAAAGTGCTGAAAACACATTTCTGCTCAGAACAAGGTGCACAAGCAGGAAGACACTTGGGCAGGAATTTATTCCATATAAGCACTGCATTAATGGAAACAAATGCTCAATGTGCATTCGCATGCTACGGTGACATGATCACAAAGAATAAGCAAGCTCTGTGATACTTACCCGGGTGAACCTCCTCTATCAAGCCTGCGTGTGTGCCCAACAGTGTGTATGTTCCTTGGACTCCCTGGGGGGTAGAAGTACAGAAGGCTTCACTCCGGTGTTCTGGCTGCATAGGATGACATCTTGGGAAGCAAAGATGGCGGGACACTCAAGTCTTCCTACAATAATAGTTCAGTTATGGTCAAACTGAGCAAGAGAGAGAGGTGAGTCCAAAAGTAGGCTGACAGATGAGGGACAGAGAAGTTGAAGTGGAATTTCAGCCCGGCCCCAGCACTGGCTCTCGCAGCTCTCTCTGCTGTGGCTTCTCAGGCACCCCAGCTGTTACAGAATCTCCATCCCTTTCCTCAAGGTCTGCAGACAATACCTGCTTCTCTAAGTGTTTCATCTTCTCCACTCCAAAAAAACCCAAAACCTTCCCTTTACATCTTTCCCTTTGAAATAGCACTCTTTTCCCAGTTTGCTGGCCCTCCTTCCACGCCCACCCTTTGCTTTCCTCCCCATGGGACCTGGCTTCCACAGCCACCGCTGTGCAGAGATGCTTCCCGAGCTCACGAGCTGCCTACCTGCCAAATCCATGACGCGCTCCATTCTCAGTGCAGTGAGTATCTCCGCGGCCTTTGATGCCACTGATTTCTCCATCAGTCACTGTACCAAAATTCGGCTGACAGTAACAGACTAGTAAGTGAGTATTAACTACTACCGCAAAATACTTAGCCCAGCACTTTGTACATAGCATGGATTCTAAAAGATATTTGCTGATATTCAATTATCATTTCTCTCAGTTGCCCTTGTTCATTTTTTTAAATACAACGTACTTCTGCAAGTGTCTTGCCACACACACACGCCTGCGGAGTGTCTTATCCACCACTGCGTTGCAACAGTTATCGCGCTATGTCTACCACATCTGTATATGTAGGGGACAATGAAAATTTCTACTCTGCCCTCTGAACCTTCACTGAAATGAACAATAGACAGACTGATGAGGGAAATCATTTACACTTGTTATTGTACACAGGGGCTTCACAGGAATGTGATCACCCAATTCTCCAATGAGACTCAGAAACTTATACAGCCTTCATGGGAGAGAAAAGGGGGTAATGTAGGTATTCCACACTGAGGACCACTGGTAAACTTACGGAGTATCTGTGTCCTTCTCGGTGGGTGACTACAAGCACGCCACGAGCCAGCATGTCCACTTCTCGTACTCTTCCCCGTGCTTCTCAGAAATAGCCCCGAGCCACTCGCAATGAACCTTAAATCCATCTATACAGTTCTCAGTGTGGAACGATTTAGCGACTGGGCCTCATGTTCATGTCCCCTCCCCCACAGTTCCTGTACAGACTGTCAAATCTTGTCCTGTGCTCCTTTCTTAAATGGAAGCATCATACCTGTGAAGGAGATGGTGACTCAAATTTTAAGATAACACATTATTAAATTTAGAAATAGATGAAACTTCACTTAAAAAGTGTTTGAGTAATAATTTATTCTATTAAAAGAATGAATTGCTATTTTTAATATACCAAGCAAACAGGAACTTCTAAAAAATCACAACATCCTCATTCTAAGAACTGAAAAAAAAGCTGCTATGTTGGAAGCATCACATGTACGGCTCCACGTCCATTTACAGTGGCAAATGTACCATGGAAACAAATTTGCCATGGGAATTTTCACAGCAATAAATATCACAGTCTGCTGGCAACAGATGGAGTTATGATCACACACGCACAAGTGTAAGACCAGGTTGAGGGATGTGAGAAGTATAAAGCACGTTAGCTCGGACCTTCAAGTCTCTTCCTGCTTCACAAGGCACACCAGACTGAACTGGAGATCACATTTGCGGCAGCGTAGTAAGTTGCCCCCTTAAGCCACACCCTAGCTGACTGTGGAGAAGGTAGACAGATAGATAGACAGATGATAGAGATAAGTGCTGATTTCAAATTCTGAACTCAAGTACTCAAGAGATCCTCCTGTCTGTCTCCTAAGTAGCTGATACCATAGCCATGTACCACTTGCTGTGTTGAGATCAGTATTAAATGTGTTTGATTGAATAAACAAATTTTCCTACTGCTAGAAGATATAAAACTATTTAACTGGAATATGGCTTACTAAGAACATCAAGAAAAAGTTAAAGTATTTGAACCATTATATCTCAAAAGTGACATATTATTGGCCTCTAACTTAAGAGCTTTTTCAGCCTGGATCTCATCTAACATTTTTCATGCTTCTTTCTGCCCCTTCATTCCTACCCCCTCTCTCACAAAAACAAAACAAGAAATAATAAACAACAAAAGACATGGTCACCCGACCTTCTGCCTTTCAAAATTTTCTTCTTCTTACTTGGAATTCTCAACAAATATTCATATTCTAGACAATAGATCATACACCTCGGGGGAATTCTGAGTCAACAATTACCTGGATTTCATGCAATAAATCATCTGTTGTCTGTAAATATAAGTATAAAGTGATCATAAAATGAGGTAGAGTATGACATAGTATAAAAGAGGAAAAAGAGGTGTCATTAGAGGTTTCAGAGATACCACCTCTGACGGGATGACCTCAGGATTCTTAAAGACAAGGGTGTCTTAGCTAAGATGCTATATTTCAAGTGCATGTTGGTTTGAGATATAAAGTCATCCCTGTATATTCATGAGGAATTGCTTTTAGGAACCCCTGCAGATACTCACAACCTGCAGATGCTGAAGACCCTTATACATTATGGTGCAGTATTTGTACATAACCTACATAAATCCTCCCTCACAGGTTAAGCCTCCTCTAAATTACTTGAAATATCTGATACAATGAAAATCCTATGTGAATGGTTATACTGTATTGTGTAAGGAATAAAGACAAGGAAAAGTTTATATGTATTCAGTACAGAAGTGATATTTTAGAGAATATATTTGGACAGGCATGGTGGGGCGTGCTTAAGCCCAGCATTCTGGGAGGGTGAGATAAGAGGACCCCGCATTACAACAAGGTTTGGGTAACGCAGCGACTTAACGATACGTAGTCTGAAAGTGTTTTTTTTGTTTGTTTGTTTTTGTTTTTTAAATCTACTAGTACATGTTTGAAGTACATAATGATTGCATTCATTGTGGGGAACTGGTCCAGGTACATAACATCTCCATACTTTCTTTTTCCCTTCCTCTCCAAGCTCTCCCCACTGCTGGCAGCATCAGAATTATTTATAAGTCCTTATAAAGTTAACTGTCATATGTGTAGATGAACAACCAGACTTATTAGGCCAAAAAAATAACACAGTACAGGAAAAAAAGAATATTTCTGATTCATAGTTGTTTGAAACCGTGGGACTAGAGAGAGGAAGGACTGTTTCAGGAAAACACTACATCAACAGATGTTTTTAAACTTGCGTGAAAGCAAAAGTCCGTTCCTCCACTCACGGTACACATCCAGCACATACACCCTGTCTCTCCTCCCGTGGTGTGTTATGTGCTTGGTACTGGCCACATGGGTCCACACCATTATATTTGCTTGTTTGCTGCCACTGACCTAATCAAAGGAGGCTATTTATCTTGGTAGTAACTCAAAGGGATTTATTTAAAGTTAGTTCCCTGGAGATGGAGGAGCTGCCTCACTGAAATCACCATTTCACCGCATAGGTACAGGTATCATAGGGCCTTTGATAACCGGGGGGTGGGGGGTGTACAGTGAGACAATGGACGTGTCCAAATGCGTTCCATCCCTTTCTGGACCCTGTCTTCTCCCTACTTTTCCTGTGAAAATGAAACTCGATGTTGACCTCCCCGTGCCATAATCTGCATATTCTGCCCATTCTTCTGAGCTGAGGGCAGTGTAGGAGTGGTGGTTATAGTCTAGGCCTAAACACTGGAGAAACCACTTTTCTCTACAGGGAAAAGCCTAACATTTACATTTTCCCTTCCCTAAATTCATAACTTAAAGTCCTAAACCCCTGTACCTTACCTTATGACTATATGCAGTTGTAGGACCTTTTCAGAGATAATTAAGGTAAAATGAGTTCATGTGCGTGGGTCTTCATCCAATTTGACTGGTGTCCCTAAAAAAAAATCAAGAGATAGGGGCCATGATGGCGATGCCTATAATCACTGCACTCTGGAAGTCTGAGGCTGGAGGATCATAAATTCAAGTCTAGCCTAAACAATTTAGTAACTTAGCCAGACCCAGTTTTAAAATTTTTAAAAAGGCCTAGAAATGTAGTTCAGTGTTAAGGCCCTGAGTTCAATCTCCAGTAACACACACACACACACACACACACACACACACACACACACAGAGATAAGGTCTTAGAGAAAAGACACTAGCAGAAGATGACCATGTACACGCCCAGAGACAGGACTCAGAGAAAACCAACTCTCCAAGCAGATTGATCTTGGAATTCTGGCCTCCACAATTCTGAGGAAGTCAGTGTCTGTCATTTAAACCCCCCAGCTGATGGTACAGTGTACATCGTTAAAGAGCTGACATTTGAGGACTTGATTTATTAGCCAGTGAGAAGTCAAACAAACTTTTAAGCTTAGAATGTCCTGATGATCCGGGTTCAGATGGAAACATGTGCAAGCAAAAAACACTGGGGAGCCAAACTTCCTCACTGACAACAATGAGCGGACTGACATTAAGTGTGTTAAACTTGCAAACTATTGTATAACCCAGAGCTAGGAGATCAGAAAGCTCATGGTATTGCATAGCATAGAACACGCACTTAACAGAGATAAGGATGTTAGTATAATTTTTAAAAAGTTAAACACGTGACTTTCTTACAGAGATAGAATGAACACATATCAAAGACTTCACTCAATTTATTACTTAACAAGAAAACTAATAATATATATTCACAGATCAGGAATGCTGACATTCATTTGCCAAACTGTTTTTTTTTTTTTTTTTTTATTGTAAAGGGCAATAAAATGATTTGGGTCATTTTTTCCCATAGTGCAGCAATAAAATGTGTCTCCACGGGATAACACATCTCCGCATTGTTGTGGAGAAGGATCGTTTGCATGACTAACAGTCTTCTACAACTTCACTTCCAGGCCTTCTGGAACTGTAAATGGCCCTAGTAAACAGAAGCAATCAGAGGTGCACACCCCTAGAATTAGATAATCACCCGATGGTTCCGAGACAATGGTCAGTGCTCCACGGAAAGGACAGACACCCTGTAATCTGTTCTGCTTATTTCAGTCTTGGACTATCTTTGTGTCCAACAATAAATATAGGAGAAGTTATTTTCATGCTAGATATGTTAAATATGCAGTGAAAAGGAACCCTCGGGAGAAAGTCCAGCACGCAATCAGAAATGTGCGGCTGCACATCAGCAGAGTAGCAACTTCGAAGACATCTGTCAGCTCAGCTTGATCTTTCCACACACCCCATCATCAGTGAGCCCTTAAAATTGAGAGCAGGACAGGTGGAAATCTCAGGCAACTATGAAAGAGCAGCTACTGCTCTTTCGTCCTTGTTTGTTAGCAATCTACTGTGCTTGGATTCCTCTGTCTAGCAGGCTTTGAAATCTTGGTTTTGGGTTCTTGATCTGGGTTCCTTCTTTTGGCTCTTTGCTCCCCAAGATTTGTTTCCTTCCTGGAAGCTCGTCTTCAGGTTGTCTCTCTTGCTAGGTTGGGACTTTGGACCCATTCTGCTAAAGGTTCTGATAAGGAAAGACTGTACTATTTGAGACCTAAAAATGAACTCAACTATCTTGGTCATTTGGGGAGTGCTCTGATGAATCCTTCTCCAAAAGAGAAGTAGGTTTGAGTTATCTGAACAGAGATGAAAAATTTCCCATCAATACATATGATTTTTAATTTTCTCTTTGGCCTTTCACTTCTGTTAATCACTGACACTAACCCTTTCTCTTCCCTCGGTCTTGAGTACTGGCCAGCTGACTTGTAAATAGCTTGCAACACCGAAGCGAAGCTGTTCATTCACTCACACATCCATTATTCCACTAATTCATTCACTTGTCATAAACTACCACAGTAGTTTGTGTATGCTAAGCACAGTGCTCGGTGCCAGCAGACACACCAAGGGAATATATTGTTGCCGGCCACAGGCAGAACGACTGAGGGGTAGAAAGTGATGAACATTTGATCTTTTCTAGCACATTCCAGGTCTACCACATCCAGTGAGGGGCCCTGCACATAAAGGACCCTTCCATCACGACACACAAGACTGCAGCACAACCGGGTAGGAGAGAGATGGAACTCCAGGAGCGCTCCTCGAGTCAGCTCCAGCTGCCATCTGGACTTTGACAAACTCAACAAGTAAATTCTAGTCTGAAAAGTCATCTCAGTCTTTCCTGTATTTCCAAAAAGAAATAAAAGTGATTATGAATTAAGGTACATTTTTAAGCTTTGAAATTATTTGATTGGATTTGCAACATACAAACTTAAATGCTAAACTGACAGAGAAATATCAGCAGCTTTTATTTCTCAGTAATGTTGCTTTAATTACCAGCCATCTAAAATATTCAATCTAAGTTTCTTATGTATCTTACATTTTCAAAGTACCTTTAACAAGATACTTATTCTAATTCTATAGAAATTTATTTGATCACAGATGTGTTAAAAAGTCACCAGAATGAGGACAATAACACCAGAGAGAAAAGTGTAGATATTGATATAAGTGAATTGAAGGATATAAATTTCGTTTGGAGTGAGGATAACTGATGTATTTCAATTAATATGAAGAGTTAGAAGCCAAATCCCATAGAAAAAGTATTCTAGTGCCATGAAACTGCTACAAGCCATCAGATTGTGTAAGTATGAGGTAATGAGCCCATTCTCTAAGCTCTCAGAGGGACAGAGATGCCCAATAACTCCTCGTTGGCAGATGTTTATTTCTTCCAGAGCTCTTCCAACTCGACACCTTGAAGACCAGGTTGCCCTGAGGACAGGGAATAGCATTGTTAGAGTACCACAGGCTTTATCTGGGGCTGCAGTAGGGGAGGTCCTACAGGCATGTTCCTCTACCATCAACCCCTTCCATAAGAGGAGAAATGAAAAAAAACAAGGGAGAAATGACTACAAATAAGATATGGACAGATATAAATGCTCATAGAGATAGATAGACAGATAGACAGACATAAATATGCCTTAGAATATGCCTCACTACATATTACAAGTGTGCATGTACACACATAACGTTGTCTTTGGTTTCTGTGCACTTGGGGGTGAGCCAACTAAATACTGATTTAAAAAACTTTTTTTCTCTTAATTTACCATCACAAACAAATATAATCCAGAAATAAAATTTTATGAACATTAAAGTAAGTAAAATAACCTTGTTCTTTAACCTTTCCTGACAAGAAAGATTGTAGAGAATGGAGGCTGAAGAGGAAAAAAAAAAGATCATATTTAACAACATCCTCTGTCTTTCGGTACAGGCATCAGTTAACCTTTGCACAATTACTTATTGTTAAAGATGCAGATGTATATCATCATGAAAAACTCATATTTCAGAATTTTATTTTTTTTATTCCAAGTAATAAAATTGCATAGATGTTATTCTGTCCCTCAGCATGCATAAAGAATGGGTAGGTTAGTTGTTGAAAGTATAGACATATACTAAGGGGGTGCATTTTCAAAATTCACCAAGGTCATTAATGCACCAGATGTAAATGGTCTCCCATTTATCAAATGCCCCAGAGAAATCAGGAGATAATTGAAATGATAGATGAAGAGATGAAACTCTAGGCTAATGGGCTGTATGTCAATGAATCAATGTCACCTTTATATAAGCTTTTGGAAGATGATTCCTATTCTTTTCTTATTTTTAAAGTTTTCAGAGCTGGGATCAGTTATTTCTCATTTGTGTAAGTTTTAGACCTCAGGAAAGTAAGTCATAAGTGGAATAGAGACTGAATTGGAAAGAAAGCTCCCTGACCCATCAGAAATATTTCTATAATTTTCTCATGATGCCTTGCATGTCCCTACATGAATTTCCCTTAGAATTTATCACTCTGCCTTTTTGTATTTGTGCTGATTTTTAAAAAAATCATCAGTTCATGAATAATCTCACTTGAAGATCAATTCTCTTAACTCTTACCCTTAACAAAATTACATGAACTTTACATAAGAGAAACATAAAAAGATTGACAAAACAGACTTTAAAACGGAAAATTCTTTCAATATGATTTTAAATGAATTCTTTATTGTTAAAATATAATTAATATGCATTTAGGGTAACAGACACTGAAAAGAAAAATATTAGTTTGTAGAACAGGTTATTTATGATAAAGGCAGGGCCTTGGGTCTGCAGAAAACAAGTGATGCTCAGAAACTAACTTTTTACACTCCCCAAAGTGACAAAAAAATCAAGATCAAAATCAAAATACTAGATAAAGAGAGACATATTAGCTATGTGTGGTGGCACACACCTGTAATCCCAGCACTTGCAAGGCTGAGGCAGGAGGATCATTGCAAGTTCAAGGCCAGCCTGGGCTGCAAAATGAGTTCAAAACCAGCCTGAACTGCAGTGAGACCCTATCTTAGGAAGACCAAAACAAACACAAAACAACCAAAAAAAGTGAGACATGTTAAAGTACAAATGTTAAGTCAAACCAGTAACAAGTTGAAGAAATGAAAAAGTGTCTTTTCAGAGCACATGGAATTTTCTGTCCATTGAGCAAACGTGTTTTGATACCTTTAACTAACAATTTCAAAAGGCACTGTGATGAGCTGTTTTTGGAGTCAGGTCCAAATGTCAGGGCTCAGTCTGTGTACCAGAAGGGACGTCCTGTTAGGGGCTGGTGGGCACCTACCCTCAGCCTGAGAGGCAGAGTGGGAGATCAGCACCCCAGTGATAGGATCAGTACATTGATGGTTGTTGCCTTTGGAAAGCCCACAGGCAATGATCTTCCTGATAATTTTGACTACCCAGTGGAAACTGCCTCTTAGGACTTGTGCTGGGAAACTTGGACTCCTGAGGCAAGCCAAAAAACAGGACCCTGGGACAGAAAGGAAAGCAACTGTAGGGAATGCACAGAACTTTCTTAAAATAAAGTATGGAATTCAAGCCCTGAAGCTTAAAGGGAAATCCAAA